CACAGAACAAAGCTGGTATGATCCTTGTGTGGGGGACTTTTATATGTTCCAAATTCCAGATTAAAAACTAAAGGGGACAGAGCGTTTGCTGTGAGGGCCCCAAAACTCTGGAACTATCTGCCCAAGAAAATTGGGTCAGCTGAGTCAGAGATCTATTTTAAATCCCTTGTTAAAGGTCCAGTGTGTAAGATTTAGGTGAACTGGATCCAATTGGCAGAAATTTTATACAAAATTATCCAAGTGATGTTTTCCCTAGTGTTTCATCTAAATTGAATGAATTGTGGTTTTCTTAGGCTACTGCCTTGTATGAAAGACCATGTGGCTCGCTCAGTAGATCAGACATCATTACCTCTATGCCTACTTTAAACCAAATACTGTCCCCTTTTAGAACATAGGACAAGATGGAGACTATCCCTTGTATGTTCTACCGCACTAATTAATGCCAACCACCAGTTGAAGTTAGGGTTGTTAGTGACCACCAGCTGATGTGAAAAGAAAACTGTCTTTTGGAGTTCTTTAAAAGGAATATTGTCTCTTAATATTTGTGATTCCCTAATTATTTTTTTGCTGTGCTCATGGTTTTAAGACCTGTCTGTTTTCCTGTGCCGCCCTTGTTAAGCACTTTGTGTCTTTGTAAATAAAACGAGTAAGTTCGCTGTGTAAATAAAGTTTTTATTATTACCCTTGGAATGTCATTCAGTTGGAGGTTGAATGAAGCAGAACGCCGAGCGAATGAGACGCGTCGCACGTCACCAGGAGGAGGGCGTTCCCAGCTGCGTTTTTCAGCCAATGGCGGCTGGAGCGCTGTGGGGATCCACCAATCAATGCGCGAGTCGCAGGAAATGGGCGTGAACTTGTCAGCTACAGTCACGGACGTTGCCGTGAACTTTACCGGTGTTGAACTCCCCGCTGGACCGCAGACCGTTCGCGTGAGTAGGGAAAAACCGAACCGCACCGGTACCTTTATAAGAACCGGGTTGTCCGTGGTGTCGGTTCTTCTCCGAATCACCGCGTCCTCCATATTTAGAAGAACAGCTCCAGTGGTCGCCTCCACATGGCTACCGAGCCAGCTAGCTTAGCCAACCAATCACGCTAGCCTGCATTAGCCTCCACAGGATAAATGTGGCCACCGGATAGTTTTTAATTATCCCCAAATGTGGTGTATGCTTCAAACTAGAGGTTGCACGCGGATTTGTATTTGTAGCTCCCATGATGTTTTTTAATTCAACATTATTCTGTGTGTTGACAGTCTTGAGTTATTTAGGCCTTAGCTACAGCCAGTCTTATGTACTGGAGGGCAGGTCTCTGTCGTTAGCCTAGCCGGGTTAATGATAGCTGCAGAGTCAAGTGTGTCCAGCTGCATTGAGGGTGTGAGGACAGTGTAATGTCCCTGTTGTTAAATTCTACTTAAGTTGTGTTTCTAGTAGTAGTTTATCTTTGCTCACAGTGATTATCTTAATAACCACAACCACGAGCTGTGGTTCACCTACACTGATATTTATCAAGACAAGCATGGTTCTTGGTTGTGTGATGAGAATGATCTATTTCCAGTTGTGATTACACAGGTCACAGTTTCGAGCCCCGGTTATTCTTACATGACTGTGAGTTTCTTCTAACACAGATCTGTTTACAGAGTAAAACTCTTAACATACAGTAGCTTACATGCAGACAGCCATACCTAAAGCTTTAACTATAACGTAAGTATCTCAGTATTAGTATGACAAGCTCAGGTCACTACAACTCATGTCAGGTTCGTCATTATCCTGGTGTGAGTGGAGATAATTGCTTAAAATTCTTAAAGGATTGCAACTCCTAACACCAAACATAAAAATAATCTAAAGAGTTCCAGCTGAGATTATATGAGCTGTCAAGGACAGTCTTTTAGTACGACATAATTAAAGATGCATTATTCACAAATTCCCTGACACATAATCAGTGAATTAAATATGTTATTTATCCCCTGTCTCTCTCTGGTTTAGTCTGTAATAGCATCAGAGTATGGGCAGTGTGTTAGCTGCTGCCTCCCCCAGTCCCGCTCCAGTTGCAGCTGCAGCTGGAGCTGGTCAGGGGGTCCCTGGATTGGTGTCGGTCCCCCCAGGGTTTACCATGCCCTCAGTGTCTTCCGTCCCTCCAACATCTGGATCTGGCCAGCAGACATCGGATTCAGATTCCACACTCCCAAACCCAGGCACATATGAGGAGTGCCACCGCAAATGTAAAGGTTCGAAAATCAGCTTATGAATTGTAACATGTGCATCAAGTAATGTGTGACCGATGTAGTTTTTCTTCATATTATTTCAGCGTTTAGGTAAAGACCATGGTGGTGTTATAAAAGTGTCATTATTGTCATGTTCATGTGGGATTAAAATGATCTGATATCTGATTTCCTTTGTTGCTCTTCTGTTTTAGAGGTATTTCCACTGCAGATGGAAGGGGTGCGATTATTGGTCAACAAGGGCCTGAGTAACCACTTCCAGGTCAGCCACACTATTACCCTCAGCACCCAGGGTGATTCTGGATATCGATTTGGTTCCACCTATGTAGGCAGTAAACAGATGGGACCAGCAGAGGTAATCATTATTCATTTGGAAATTTTGGTTTTCAATCTTCCTAGTCAAGTTTTCAGTATATTGTCTAATGTATGTTTTATGTTGATTATTCATCCCATAAATTAGAAAAAAATAATTCTATAATTGGAAGCCCTTTTTGGTTAGTCAGTTAATCAACATGATTTCTTGACCTTATATGTCTTCATCTGGATTTTAAAACTAAACAACATTTACACTGATATTCAGAAAGCTTTACAGACTAAGGCTCCAAACTCTGTCAATGTTTCAAATGGCATCCACATCACTATAAAGCTCACAATGGTGTGTTTTTTTTTTCCTTCTAGTCATTCCCTGTTATGGTTGGAGACATGGACAATACTGGCAGTCTTAATGCCCAGGTCATCCACCAGCTCACAAATGCTGTGCGCTCCAAAATAGCCATCCAGGTACGTAGACTCGTAGAGGTAACAGCAATACAGATGTGGTCATCTCCCGTCTATTTTCAGCATGTTAAGTTTCCTAACATTGTCATATTGATCTCTGAATTCTTTTCCTTTTCATTTGTTGTAGACTCAGCAGCATAAGTTTGTGAATTGGCAATGTGACATGGAGTATCGTGGTGAAGACTTCACTTCTGCTGTGACACTTGGAAATCCAGATGTACTTGTTGGATCTGGTATGATTGTTTTTTACAACAGTATTGGAGGTTTTGTGTCATATATTACTAATTCATAACAACAACTAATAGATGGCTTTGTTAAGACAGAGGACAGTTGTGGATTTTATCTTCTGTGTGCCTGCATGTGTGTGTTTGTATGTGTGTGCAATATAAATGTCAGATAAGATGAAACCTTCAAATGTTTGTTCAACGCAGTTAGAGAGCTGAGATGATGAGTTGATTACTGTTGTAATGGTTATTATTTCGTGGTTAAATAACGAAAAAAACCATATTTGCCCATAAGCAAAATTGCTATTTAATGTTGTAAAGAGTGTAAACAAGTGCTAGAAAACATGTAAGAGAGGAAAAACTGGCTCCATACTGAAAATATCAATGAAACAAATAATATATTATGTGTAAATATAATGGAAGCTCCTTTTTCCTTCAGGCATTTTGGTGGCACACTATCTCCAGTCAATCACACCAGCGCTAGCTCTGGGTGGTGAGCTCGTGTACCACAGACGACCAGGGGAAGAGGGGACCGTCACGTCCCTATTGGGTAGATACACAGGTAAAATCTACCCTTAACTTATTTAACCAAGCACTGTAGGAGTACTTGATGCTCAAATAGATCTTTTGCTATCTTTATTTTTTGGTGTTTTAATTTAATGTTTACCTTCTCATTTCCAAAATAATCACTGTTGGAAGTTCTGTAATGAGATCAGGAGTTGGATAAGTAAAATGGTGCCTGATAGCATCTTGTTGTCTGTGTGGTAGATGTTCAGGTCTTTTTTTCCTATCCTCAGGTGACAACTTCATTGCTACTTTGACCCTTGGAGGTGCAGGTGCTCATGCTACATACTATCACAAAGCCAATGATCAGGTACCTAATATCAGGCAAAGTGTTGGTGGTTGTATTTCTGGCGTTTGCATATAAAAAGGGTGTGCTTGTGGATTTCAATAGGTTTTAAGAACAATACGTACATGCCCATGTATACACTAGCAGTTTTTTGTGTGTAATTAATCTGCCTATTGGAACTGGCTGCGATGAAGTCCTTTCCTGTATTGCTTTCATTGTAAGAGATGATGTGATCCTGTTTATGTGCAAAAATCTAAAGTTCAGCTGGAGGTCATGTTGTGGCTTAAGCAGCTTCATTTATACTCATTGTAGTACTAAATCCCCTCTGTGCGCTGCTCAGTTTCACTCCATTGAAAGACAACAAATGTTGTACTTGTGCATTTTGTCCTACTTCTCTTAACTGTCATCTCCTTAAGACAAGGACGGGATAAATAATTATATGGACCAAGAATTCTTTCGATGTGGATAGTGAACTTAGCTTTTAACTTCTGTGTCCCAACACAGCTGCAGATAGGAGTTGAATTTGAAGCCAGCACAAGGATGCAAGACACCACAACATCCTTCGGCTATCAGCTGGACGTTCCCAAAGCTAACCTCCTCTTTAAAGGTAGATACAGTTTATCTACTTTCAATAGTCATATAAGTGACTCTAAACATTTTAGATTTTTATACTTTTCCATTTTTTCCCACAGGTACAGTTGACAGTAATTGGGTGGTAGGGGCAACCCTTGAAAAGAAACTGGTGCCACTGCCTCTCACCCTGGCCCTAGGGGCTTTCCTTAACCATCGCAAGAACAAGTTTCAGTGTGGTTTTGGTGTCACCATTGGCTAATGGTGCAGGGTCTGTCTGGAGCATCCCGCGGGCCACAGCTTGGACCGGCACAGAGACACACAGGAACCTGCACTGTTTTAGAAATTGGATTCAGAGACTCTCTTACAACTGATTTCTGGGGTGGACAGAGAGACAAAGACAACTATCAAGGAGCCAGGACTGACCAAGCCATGCCTACATACTGTAGCACAAATGTCTTTCTTTTATGGTGTATTGGATATACCCAGAGGCTAGAGAGATGTACATCAGAGGACATCAGGTGATGCATGAGAACATGTGATGTGAAAATCAAAGTAAGTGGTTAGCTATAATATATGGTCATAATTATGATGGATTGAAATAAATGTGATTACTTTTTGTAAAAATAGATGTTGTTATTTCTTACATAAGTACTGGCTGCAAAGCAAAAAAATGTTGTCCAGTATCAACTTAAGCAGCAATGACTATCAGAGAGATTAAAAAGTAATTTCTTTCTACTCAATACACAGTATTTTGCAGTGTAGCAAATAACAAAAGCTGCAGCCTCAAATTACTAAAGATATAATCAATATTTTATTAATAATGGATTTTTCACTTTTAGTGTGGAGGTACACTGGAAGTAGTGAACTGAAGACATTACACCTGTTGGCAGCCATTTCAAACAGCCAGAGACCAAAATCTAAATGTCAATAGAGTAGGACCTCTATTCATCAGACAGATTCTACCATATCTCTAAATTAATGTTGATCTCCACTTTTCGCCTGAATGTACAACAAAACCACTGTTCTTCACATGTTCATCATATCAGCTCCTTATAGCAATAATAGATTTTTTTATAGCTTGTTTTTGCTGCCTCCAAGTGGAAAAAATAGAAATCAGAAATCATTAGTGAGAGATATCCTGTGCCAGCTTTAATTATAACATCAAACTCAGAATTAGAGGTGGATTGCTCCTAAGAGTGGCAGAAAGTATCCATTACCACAAATCTTTATTAAAGTTTAAATATTCTTAAACAACAGAATTTGTATCTTAAATTTATAACATGATTATCAGTATTTCAATAATAGGCTTATTGTATATGTATGTTTTAATTTGTATCCTTAAATTAAAGATAGTATTACATGATATCCCACAAACCACTCAACACATCTTCAAGAATAATCTATAAATGATCATCGACATGCCAAGCTAACCAATGTATACGATTCCACCACCAAATGCAAACAATTGTTTAATAGGCATTTCTTCAATTCTCACTTGTTGATGACACAAGAGCAAAAGACTGGTCTGAATTTTCTTATGGTTAAACTATGTATCCCTGATCAKTGTCTCCCAGTACAGCTTTTTTTAATATAAAAAACCACCAAGGCAAATTGCTGGTCCTGTCCATCATGGAATTGACAGCATCAGTGCGAGCAGGAGGGTGAGGACAGGAG